TTCCTTTCCAGTGCTAGGAATAGCAAACGTCGTTCATTCCTGTGTCTTTGTAATAACACCGCTATTTAATTCTAGGGTTCTAGTCCAATATAGGTCCAAAGTTTAGATCGTTTCGTGCTAGGGTTTGCTAATAGGGCATCTCACGGCGCTGTTCGGCTTGGTTAGGGGCATTTTGCTGGTTCTCGTCGATCGTTGCCGTTGCTTTAATAGAAACTTGTAAGTTCCTGTAAAGCTAAGCAGCATCATGAGCTTTGTTTACACTTTGTAAGAGTTTACAGGTTTGACCCAGATGACGTGTAAATTAACAGGAATTAACGGGAGTGCAAAGTGCCCCCCCCCCCCTCCTCCCTGTAGCCGATCAGCGCCAGTCTTTCGTCATACACCCTTTCCATACGATTTCTTCCATCCTTTTTATATTGGACGGTATCTAGTCGAGATGAATATTTTTCCGTGAATCCACGGGAGGAGCTCCTATGTATGTAGGTTCATTTCGCATTTGGTTCAGCCACATCAGAGCTCTTTTCCCTCCCAGGCCCCTAAACTGAGCACCCATACTGATTTTAATGCAGAGTGAACTTTTTTCTTGCGCGAAGCGCTCCACCTGCACTATCTCCTGTAACAGCTGACCTCATTGGAAGCCCCACCCCAGATAGCCACGCCCACTTTTTTGTCGCAAACATAGTTGGACTGTCGCCATTCCAGACACTGACATCGTATCGTGTACATTCATGGAATCACGATGTAGTACCTGATTATTTACGAACAAAATTGAATCCAGAAATGGAATCCGAGGAGATGATGTTGGAGCAGGACCGTAATCAGAAAGGTTAGTAATATCGATCTTCAGCTGTTACCCGAACTTGTTTAATGAGCGTAATTTGAGAAAGTATACTCGGTTCTAGTCCCCGATTACTTCATGGTATCCGATTTCCGAAAAGCTGGATGTTATCTGCAAATTTCATTTGTTTGCTTAGCTGCTGTTTATAGTTCATCCACCTTGTGACTGGATAGGGTTTTGGCTTTTCAGGGCCTCTGTCGCAGCGAAATCTATTCCTCTTTCCGCAAACTGTGGCCGCCTGCTCTCTTCAGAGAGTGCGTTCATACTCTGGGTCAGCGTTTTGAGCGACTACGAAAGTACAAGTATCGATCTAGCGTAGCCCAATGTCCCAGTAGCTCAAGACTCTCAAAACACCTCCGCACGCTTCGAACGCCGAGCAAAGTATGATCGCTTTAAAGGTTGTGTCTTGGAGAGCCTTCGGGACGAGAGGGGAATGGGCCGGGGTGGGGGGTATACGTTATTTCCACGCGGCAAAAAAGCAACGAAAAGCATGGCAGGCTGCGTTCGCACCAGGACCCATCTAACTCGACATGGCAATACTGCCTTATGTCGAGTCAACGGGCCGTGAAATACTCAGCCGCTTTGTGCGTATCGCCATAACCCTCCCCTCTCCAGTTAGCACTCCATATCCTGGAATGGGTTGGGCAGGTGCGCTTTTGCTGGGATATTGCCGTGTTGCGGCGATTGTTATCATGCCTTGTACAGCACAAGACATAATGGCAGTTG